AAGATATTTAAAAATCCCACTGTACTTCCATGGCAATTAAAGCGATTTTCAGAAAATCTGGCTAACTCCATGAGAGGTCCGGCTTAACCGGAAGTGACGGTACGCGACTCATGGATGTATCGCCGTTGTGTTAGATGCTGATGGCTTCATTTTTGACGTACATTCGGCAATTGTTGCCACATTGCTTGAATTCCTCTAGATTTTGACACAAATGAAGCGAATCGTAGAAATTTGTAAGACAAAATTGTTTTAATTCAACCGTGATTAAGTGTCTGTTTCTTTCCAAAAGATGAGTGTGGGTGCGTTAAGAGATGCACCAAACAATTTTGAAGGGAGAAAAATTCCTTACGAATCGACAGCTCAGTACAAATGAGATATTTTACATGATGAAAGTAAATTATGTTTTTATTGAAATAAGTTCACGCTTCAGCTACTTCCAATAAAAATGTGAAATAATTCTACCGGTTTTTATAGGGGGGAGGGTGCGCAATGATCGATGAATGATCAACGAGAATCCAGAAAGTGGCCTTAGAATAAAAGTTCTCGTTTTCCCAATAAGATTACATTTCAAAGAAAATTACGCACATAAATTATGCCGCTTTCACAGCGCAGCCTCGCGCGCTCTGCGACGCCCAAACGCCACTGCTCCCTATCCTCCCAGAGATCATCACGCATTTGACACCTCCTGATTTCCTCCTCCGCTCCTTGTCCTTAAAGAAAATTGCCTAAAAAAATTCAACGAATCGAAAGCAATTTTCTTTTCTTTTTTCTTTTTTTTTTTACATTAAAGAATGAAGCACAATTTTAGCAGCACCTTGGCGCCAATTTCTGAACAGATTTTGAATTCTCACTCCTCAATATTATGCTGATTACATATTTGTATTTATGTTTTTTCCCGCTATGAACACTGCATTTTGCAAAAATAAATTACAATTTGAGCATACACGATTACTTTAATTACTTATTGTGAGTACCTAAACACTTCCTTGATATTTAACTACGCGAATTCACGACAAAATCTGAATTTCTTCTCTCTGCACCTCAAATCAATTTTCATTGAGCAGCGTCAAAAACGCAGTGGCTGCTTTCTTGAATGTTTAGACGACCTCGAATGGATCACGCAGAACTGGCTTTCATCATGATAATCAGAGTACACCACTCAAAGCAGTGGACAAATAATGCAAGACAGAAAACAGTATGCACTCATGTTTACAATAACTTTACATACTTAATGGCCACTAAATTCGAGTGTTCCCACAAGCGATGAGTTGTTTAGACGTCCAACTGAAATTATGTTTAAATACTTCACTAATTAACATCGCTCTGACGTCAGCATTTGATAACAACTGCTCTTACAATGATTTAAAGTATTTCCACCGAGCACATATTATAATAGAAAAATATTTTCCAGGCGGCTGTTGGGCAGCACCTGATTTTTCTCACTGGAAGGTCAAATATCATCGCTTTTAATGTTTACATACACTGAAGTGAAATTGAGATTGCATGAGTGAAAGACACGATCTGAGAAGAAAATAATTGTTATTCCTCAGCATTTAAGAGATACAACTGGAAAACCGCAATCATTAAAGGGAAGAGAAATGAAAAAAGGATTCATTCGTTTTCAAATGCACGTTTCTGACCTAACTGTAGTAGTATCGAGATTAGCTATTAGTTATGACTGTTTTTCAACCATCATAAATTACGAGAATTATACCTACTATAAAATTAAGAAAATAGTTTTCTGTAATTTCAAGGTCGAAATTTTTACGAAAAATACTTTTTTTTAAAAAACAGAACTTTTTCTTTTTGGTTCTCTCACAAATTCTTAAATAGTTTCTCTGCAGCAAATTTTTAACGAAAGAATTTGAAGCATTTCAATTTAATTCACTAATCTGAATAAGCCCACGGAAATGTCGAGACGTATCTCGCTATGGTTTGGAAATAATTTTGAATATCTCGTGGCGTTTCCTCACACAATCCAAACGTGAAAAGAGAAACTCGCTTTTACTTACACTATATACTATACTATATATACTATATGAATATTTCTATTCACACTGAATAATTGACCAAAGAGGGCACATATATCTTCGATCAGATTCATGTCACCGACTAAACTTTTCCATTCAGTGTTTTAATCTGTTTATATTCCTGTCTTTGTTTATCCCTAAGAACGGTCACCTCAAAACTAAGTTTGAATTTGCATGGACCTAATTTCATAAATCTTTAATAGATCATTAATTTGCCCCATTTGCAACAGAAATGTTCCACAAGCCTTGGTTTCAATTATAAGAGACATAATTTTTCTTAACATCTATGACCCGAAAACCGTGCGTTTTACAATGTCTAAACGCTTTTAAGAATGAAAATGCGTATTTGATATTACGAATAAGAGAGAAAAAAAACGTGAGACGGGTCAAAGGAACTGTTTCTGCAATTTGTTCTGGGATATGTGTTAGGGATACGTTTTTAAGGCCAACGAGTACAAAGTGCACGACTTTTCCTAGAATTTGGCAACATTACAAACATCCATTCCTACCGCAAAATGATAAATCCAGAATACGACCTAAAGATTTAAATAAGCAGTATAAACAATCGCAGAGTATCTTTCCCTCAGATTTGCATTTTAAAATCATTGCTTGTCTCGCAAATAAAAATTAAGGGCACGGTCGCAGCTATCAAGACACCATCTCTGACCCGCCGTGAAAAACACAATGGGCTTGAACCTGTAAAACGGCCGTCGTTTCTCGATGTAATGGATATATTCAATTTTATAGCGACCGGCGAGTCAGCTCCAAATTACCAACTGCTCTCAAATGATCATATTGTGAATTTCGACGTAAAAAAGTAGATGGAGATCGATATTCTCTGTCATCCTTCGTTAATTGCTCGCTACCATTAGATTACACCGCTAGATTAAACATTTTTTAGTGCATTTTCGTCATACTTCGAAACCCACCGGGTACATTTCCACTCGACTAGAAGAATAACTCCAGAATAACTCGATTTAAAACAGTTTTAAGGTGCGACTTTAATTCGACTTATTGAGCCCATTATCTTAAAAAGAGAACATGTGAAGGACGATATTCTTCGGCTGAAACTTGCCTTTAAAAATGTTGTTGATTATTGAAGTGTATACAGTTTCAGTAGATGCTTGGAGCCACCTCGACTCATTAAGTTCAATTTTTGTGCTGAACCAATTACTGTGTGTCATGTTTATACCTGAGTGGTTAGTTTGGCGCTATTAAATCCCTTCTTCCGATGCTTATTGAAAATTTTCCACTAATATTGTGCTAACTAGAGTTCGCTTATCGCACTTGTAACTTAGGGAAAAAGCCATAGGCTAATGACCCTATAGTTGACACCCTTCATTAAACTTCGCCATTGAAAGTTGAAGCCAAAATAGCGACGAATGATTTTAGATGAGTTCACCACACGTTGGCCTTATCCACGGAACGGGTGGCCGGTTTATGAATTTTTCAAATTTTAGATTTTTTGCAGAGAGCGAGGAAAATTGTCTGTTGTTGCAACAGAAATTTCCCTCGAAGAATTTTCCCGAACTCTCCTCTCAGATAGGACGTTTTTTGAAGATAATATGCAGTTTCTTATACACGGAACTATTCACTGGAAAAAAACCACATTGGATCTAGAGTCCAGACTCTTGAAAACATTGACAAGAAAAAATACTCTTGATTCAATCAGATTTAAGCTTAAATCAAAAGGAAATCCGCTCAAATTAAGAGGCTTGGTTCTTGATTTAAGCAAAAATCCGATTGAAATAGGAGTATTTTTTCTTGTCGATGTTTTTAAGAGTCTGGACTCTAGATCCAATGTGTTTTTTTTCCAGTGTTGACTTGCTTTTAAAAATAACCCTTCTACCGCAGTAAAAGTGCGTAATTGTTTGCAATGAGCAGCACCGTGGAGGGGCAGCTGTGGAAATATGTTATTGTAACTGCCTACTTCTGCATATTTTTTTCTTCGCTACCAATTGACACAACCAACTTATTTCATAACCTATTAGATCCTATTTCTAAAGAGACACATGAAGATCAATGTAAGAATTTGAAATGTTAAATCTCACTTTTTCTGGAATGAGCTCCGGTAAGAGAATTTTGTCTCAATACTATATGCTCTTAGAAGCTGCTTTTTCGTTTTATGGTGGTTTCACATGATGAAAACAGGTATATTCAAATTTCCGAAAGCCTCCCTTCTGCTAAGGCTGGAGAACTGTAAGCCTCTTGTGCAATCTTTAGATTTGATTGCCTCAAAAGCAAAATAATACTCGGTTATAGGGAGAAGCCAGTATTGATAAACTGACGGTAATTTTTTTTAAATAAAAAGTGTAGTGACAGCTACAGCAGTCAGTGGTATTGGTATACATTAATCTAATGGATATTTTCGGATGGAATGATGTACTTATAGTTTGAGCATCCTACATTACCATCCAGAAGAAGGTACGGATATGTTTTACGAATCCTAGCAATTAAGGCCGTGTAAACTTATTATAATACTCAAGAAAAATTGCAAGAGAGTATATAATTTTATAATTGGCACGATTTTATTGTAGTTTAAAGAGTTCGTGGGTTTGATTGTAGGTTTGATGTCATTTAGGTGCTATAAAAGCGGTTAATTATAATTAGGGTTCTCGTTATATTGCGTTCTCTCTGTTACATGGATCGGATGTAAAAGCACGACCGATATAATTGTCAATCTTTGAAATTTATGGTCAAATTCTGAGATTCTTTCCTCGTATTGTACGTATTTTCCCGTTCACTTCAGGTCTAGCATAGTGAGATAGGAGCCGTGCCATGATATGATCGTTATCAAAAGTTAAGAATCCCATCTTGTTTTCTAAATGAAACCATTTTTCACGTGAAAGAAACGACACAGCAAGAGCAATTTTTGGCATTATCGAAGACGCCAAAATATTAGCCAAAATCGCTAAAAGCATGCTTTAGAGATAAACGTAGCCTTATCAGCTTGATAATAATTTCAGGTACCTGAGTTTGAAGTTTTGCTGGAGACGCTGTTCTTAAAGAAAGACCAAATTGGGACATGACAGTCAAGTCAACAAGGGTGTGAATCTTGACCCTCTCCAGCGATTTTGTGATCGGGACGTCACGTGATCACTACTGGCACATTCATTCTCGCTAAATAGTTTTAATCCGCACAAAACTCGCGCGAACCGAAACGGTATCCGCGACGTTTCTTTCCGGCGAGAAATCAAAAACACTCGGATGAGTTTGTCACAAAGTCACAATTGTTTCTCCTCTGTTCGCGGCTGTCACAAGTTCATAGAAGGCACATATTAGCAACGAGCACCGGATCACATCATGGAATGGCGAAAATAGATTTACGTTTAAACTTGATCGCGGGCATGGTATTTTCGCCGTGCAAGATCGCAAACGATTCGTCGACACAGAACACAAATTTGGCACATACACAACACGTTTCTGATCCAATTCGCTGGGCGGTCGCACCGGGTGAACTTCCACGAACGGCGAAATACGGTAGAAAACTGGTCAACAGGAACTTTGAAAAATTACGACGGGGTGGTGACCGCACTGAGGATGGCACAACACTTGGGAGCGAAGAGGAAAATTCGAACACGGGTAGCCGGCGAGAGGAGCCCGTGTATTGTTTTTAATTCTGGGAGGATACTAAAGTACACAGTAGCAAAATATTGTAGGTGATAACATATTTTTTCGATGTCGGTGGAGCGACGAGGGAGGAGAAACCGATAATGACACACACACGCGAGAGGCGGAAGAGAGAGGGGGCACGGCGCGAGAGAGAGGGGGCAAAGGTACCGGGGGGAAGACAATTGAAAAATATAGACGAGCTATCCTGATTTTTGCGTTGCGACGATTCGGATCCTCCTCGCAGTGGGTGGGTATAAACAGTAGCTCAAGTGAGACTTTCCCAGACCTGGGCACCGGGGAGGGGAGTTTTGTTACACCTATCTATCTTATTTTGTGGTGCTGTAGGGGAAATATAAAAACGGGAAAAGAGAGAGAGGGAGAGAGTCGCGGGGCGGCGGAGTGGGGAGCGCGGCAAAAATTATTGAATATTCTCTTTTCAGCTCATTTTCTTTTGTATTTTGCTCCGGGAATTTTTACACTGAGAGTTGTTACAACTGTGTGTTGTGACCTAGCGTGTTTGTCACTCTTGTTCTTTTCACAGCGAGGCGGCTCCCCCCTCCCGGCCGCGTCTTCTCCCCTCCACGACGCCGCCCGCTTCCCCTCGATTCTTTTATGTTCGCTGCCTCGTTTCATGCGTTCCAACAACTTACCGTCCTCCTCATCTCTTTCTAAAGTCGCTTAAATCATATCACTCTCCGTGAATCATTATCATCTCGTGCTGCTCCCCCCTCCCTCCCCTCCTCTCGACACCCCTCAACCCGTGACGTCCTCTCCTGTTATTACTTAATATTCAAGTAATGCTAAAATACCACCAATTTCATTATTGTCTTTCGATTTTCTAACTGAAAATTACTTATAGCGTATCCCATCTAATTTTTTTAATTTTTTTTTTTTTTTTTTTTTTTTTTTTTTTTTTTTTTTTTTNTTTTTTTTTTTTTTTTTTTTTTTTTTTTTTTTTTTTTTTTTAAAATTGTGTCTTAATATCCCATGATTAAGTTGTCATCGTAGACAAAAGGAACTCGAGTGACCTCAAGAGAAAGAAAATATAATTTTAAGCTACATTGGAAAGAAAAACACATTGGATCAAGAACCAAGCCTCTTAATTTGAGCGGATTTCCTTTTGATTTAAGCTTAAATCTGATTGAATCAAGAGTCCTTTTTCTTGACAATGTTTTCAAGAGTCTGGACTCTAAATCCAATGTTTTTTTGTTTTTTCCAGTGCGAGGAGTTCACGGGGTTTCAATATTTCGGAAAGAATAACTCTAAAAAACTGCGAACTCTCCTTGTTTCTTCCTTTTTACATGCCTTTAGCACATTTCAATGTTAAAATTTTCTGTTTTATGACGTGCTGAAAATGTCATGATAAATGTGGATATTCGGGATCTTAAAATCGTTTAAAATATTATTGTATGCTGCATATTTTCACAGAGAATTCTTTTCCATTTTCCACAGGTTTAAATGGGAGATCAATCGATGCATGCATAGCAAAGAACGCCACGCCCCTGCTGCTCATATGGATCTCGGGAGTCTTCAGATCGCAAATACTAAAATTTAAGGTCCAGCTGTCGAATTCCGGGTCACACATCTGAATTGCTTCGGTACTTCAATTGACTCTTGAAAAGTTTCAACCAAAGTAATTCAAATGTGTAGCCCGTAATTCAGCAGCTGAGCCTCAATTTTTTGGATGCAGGATCACAAAAAAAGAAAACAAAAAAAACGAAAAAAAAAATACATTTGACCTCAACCCTGGGTTCCACGCGCGAAGTTTTTACTCTCTGTGAGATACTCTGGCTATGAGTTCAGCAAAAATGCCGTAACGCCTTCCTGAAAGTGTTGCTCATATGTACGTGTCCTTATTATACGGCTTATTCTCTCAAATTGAATGCATTTGCGGTCTTTTGATTGATAGCATATTGCTCGCGTCTCAAATGAAATCTGCGTGTCAAAATTTCTCTTAAAAATTAAAATTTTCATGTGAAAAATGCTGCACTGCAATGATGTCACTACAACAGTAAATGTTCCTATGCTTTTTCAACGCAATTTTAATCGCAATTTGTGGAATAAGACGAATTGTACAAGAAGGAAGAACGCTTGCTGTCTGAGTGTTTTACAGCGTGTGAACTTGGTTCGGTACACACCATTACGCAAAGCAATAAAACATGTTTACAAGGTAATGGAGCACAAGACAAGATACAGACTGAAACCATCCCTTATATGTTTTCTCTTTAAAGTGTTACGTGGAAAATGATTCCCGCAACGGAAAGTTCGTTAATTAACGCAACTATAAAGAGCAATGCCGGTCGAGCTTGAAAATTTTTGAAGTGTGCCAATCCGTTTTCGGGGCCCCTGCATGCTGAAGAGGATACAACTTCATAATTTGCACAAACGGCAAAACTTTTTATTAACTACTTCAACTGTGCGTTCCACGCTCAGTGTTAAATGGACCGAGTTTATCAGAAAGGAACCAACCCACATTTTCGCAAAAATTGAGTTTAGAATGTTAGTGAGTTCCACTAGCCGTATATTTTCTCCTGCCAAAAACTAAAAGTTGAAAAGCAGAAATTAGTTGGTAAAAAAAGGGGTTAAAGTTTATTTTCAACATTGAGCCTTATGCAGGAATAAAACTTCAAATCTCATTTCTTAGTTTCAACTTAATGTGGGTTGGCTCCTTGCTGATGAACTCGATCCAAACGTGTCGCCTATTAGTTCATTCTGGCGTGTATGGCTTTACCGTAAAATTGTGAGGGAAAATGTAACTGTGGAAGTCGCACTGGAACAAAAAGTCTCTTAAATCTAGAGCCCAGACTCATAAAAAAATTTTCTAGAAAAAATATACTCTCGATTCAACCGGATATTTCCTTAAATCAAAAGGAAATCCGCTTAATTAAAAGACTTGGCTTCCGATTGAAGTAACAATCCGATTGAATCATGAGTATTTTTTCTTTTCAATTTTATTTAGAGTTTGGACTCTGGATCCAAGAGCAATTTTTCCAGTGCGAGGTTTCTTTTACACCGTGAAAAAAATTCTACTCAGCGCCATCTGATGAGTCATGAGTGTAACTCGATCGACGAGTACATCAGTGTGTAGGCACCTAACGTGGAGAAGACGAAAAGGTGTGCAGCATCCCGATTGCCCATCGTCTATTCCCGATCTGGTTGCCCACTGCCCGAGTCGCGAAGACCAAACGTTAGGAAGGGATCCCCACTCCATCTCAGGACTCAGCGGAGGGGAAGGAGCCGGTGCCGCTCATCGAATGGGGACGGGGCGCCTCGCCGCGAGTCTCCAAGCCACCTCCCCTCTCGGCACGCGAGCGAACGTCCCCTTCGGGCGCGGAGCGACGGGATTGGCCGGTGGGCGGAGCCGCGCCGGCCAATCGGAGTCATTCTCGGCCGGAACTTCCATCGTGGCCGCGTCTCGTCGCCGCGCCGCTCCGCAGTTGTCGTGGAATTTGTTTCCACTTGCTCCCTTTGTCGCCCCATGTTCCTCGGTGCCTTTTATTCATGGAAATATATCCGCTATTTTCGACTAATATATTTTCGTGTTTTACTTATTTTTCCCCTTGTAAACTCTTTACTTTCGTACGCAGTCTTTCTCTTTCCCTGCTCCCGGTTTTCGCTCGTCTCAACCCTTTGTCGCCCTTTGTACTTCGCCGTCGTTCGGGGGTCTCTCAATAATCGACGCTTGAGATTATCCGAAATTTCGGCTCCGTGGCTTCCTCCCCGGTCGGCTGTTTTTTATCGCGATCTCGCACACGCCTCTGAGTACACACTCGTATAAAGAGCTGACGGCTTGCAACGCGACGCTTTTTCATTAACTTTGGCGGAATTTCTTCACTTTTAATCCCTGTGTGATACCCATGTGACGGATAAAACGTTGGCGCAAGAGCTTTAAAATCCTATAATTTAACTGACGGAGTTTAAGGTGGATCTTCAGCGTTTGCGCAATGCATTCTGGGTATGATCGATATATCACGAATTTCAACCTTTAAGAGAATTATTTTTGGAAAATTTAAAATTCACACCGTAAATAAATCATTGCGGAGTGTTTGTGCCGAAAATCATCCTCCAAAATCTTAAAATAAAGTCAAATGTACTATTTCCACTTCTCAAGCGATTTCAATGTATAGCTGTCGAATGGCTATTTGGAAACAGTACTTTTGATTTTGTTTTAATATTTTGGAGAATTATTTTTGCGGCATGAACATTCCACAATGATTAATCTTCATGCTGATTTTTAGATTCTCCTCAATTAATTTACCTAAAGGTTAAAATTTGAGATATATCGATCGTGCCCAGAACACATTGCGTAAAAGCTGAAAATCTACCTTAAATATAATTTTCACTAAGTAAAAATTACGCTTAAAATTACAATATGTTTGATTAAAAATGTTACCCAGTGACAGATAATCACTTGAAACAATTTACTTTCCATTGATTGGCACTTTCGATATTGATTCCTGAATCATCAAAGTTTCAATTTAAATTATTTAAAGCTAATTTTCACCTTTTCCATATTTTGACGCAATTTGATGATTAAAATGTTATTACTTTTTTCTTTTTGAAAAAAGAGGAGTGAAGCCTGTTAAAACGTGCGCTCGAATCTTTTGATTAAAAATCATTTTTTCAATACTAAAAATCGTAGTGTGATATCAATATCAGTGATTAAATTTAAATTTCAGCATTTTCATAACGTATAATAGCTTCTTTTCAATTCAAATACTGACAGAAAAAGCAAAGGATTGCATCTGCAGTATTTTCTGCCCTGAAGTGTAGGGAAAATCACGCAGTCGTATATATCAACGAGTCTGATATCATCCTCCTAATTTTTACAATTTTTTCCTTTCATTCCCAGTTACAAATGCCGGAAGTAACGATCTTATTATCCGTCCGCTATATATAAATACAACATGTATAATATTAAAAAGGGATTGATGATATCAATTGCAAAAAAAGGAAAAAAAGTTGCTTTGTTTCATCTAAAATATTTTCAAAGAAATAATATTATAATGCTATCAAGTGATTTTAATGTCCGCCAACTAAATTTTGAATTTGCTGAAGTCCCTCTTTATTGCTCTCTCGATATATATATATTCCTCCTCATCCTCACAGCTCACACTGTTGTCATTCGATTTTCGTGTGTGTATTAATTCGCAAACAATAACTTAACGAAAGAAAACTGGCGAAAATTTGCATGAACTCCAGTTCTCCTTCAACTGGACGGGTATGCAATTTGGGTGACCTAGAAGTTGATATAGTTGTATCATGCCCCCTAGCTGCTCACGGCAGGAGATTTACCGAAAATCCTGGCTCAATGTTAATTGTCAATTTAGTGTTTATATTACTTTTCCTATTTCGTTTTAATACTTTCCTCCTCATCCGCGCACAGCTCACACTCTTGACATTCGATCTTTGTGTGTGTATGCATTCGTAAACAAGAACTTAACAGAAGAAAACTAGCAAAAATTTGCATGAGCTCCAGTTCTCCTTCAACTG